ATCTATATGGATTTATTTTACAAAGCTCTTTCTTTCAGGAAAGAAAGACATCTTTAGTTTTACCATTATTCTTGACTTGTTTGCATGCTTTTTGAAAGAACATGCTTGAACGCCTCATCCTCGCTAGATTATCAGGATTTGGCATAAAATAGCTTTGAATGTTCGTCATATCGTTTTCTGCTGACTTCAGGTTTTCTGGCTACCAGCTAGCAAGAGCTCTTCCCGTGCTCACTCATGATTTGTAGTGTCAGTGCTTCTGACAGAAATGACAAACTCTAATGCAAGTTCTGCAAACTTTAGTTGGTGGTCAGACATTACCCTGCTTTCCACATCAGAGACTGTTTTTCCGGGCGGATCAGAGTCCTCTAGACTGACTGGAGATCATCTCCAGTCATTTCTCTGCCTAGTACGAATGTCCTTACCATCGTGTCACTGTGAAACAAGGACAAGCAGCTTCTCCTTGTACAACAGCTGTGGATCCGATGGATTCTGTAACCATGGAAAGAATGGAATAGCTTTAGTTACCCATAAATGTTCATCCAAAATTGAAATTATGCATACATTTTAAGTATATAGGCAGTTTAAAATAATGCATATCAACTGTGCAGTGGTCAAAATTATATGCGTGTTAGATGCATCATTTTTTAATTTAATTTGTGTGTGGACAGTATTTGAGATTATTCCTTTGGCTTGATATACAAACTGTTTTGCAAAACCATGTGTGATGAATATTTTACAGTAGCAAACAGGTTATAGCCGTGGAAGTAGAAACAGTCTGTTTAAGAAGTGTTAAATTTTGCCAGTACGAAGCCATTGTGCTGAATATAATGACATCTTTGGTGTTGACACATTAAACAGTAACCGCTGGGATTCAAGACAGAAATTTTAATCATATTTCAGATGCAGCAGATAGAGTAGGAGTTATATAAACTCAGTTGTTTTAAATATTTGGATTCTTAATATAGTCTTAGACAATCATTTAATCAAATATGGGCCAAAATTATGTTGAACATAATGGTACTGCATCAATTTAGACCAAGTAGCTGGATTATACAAACATACAAACAGCAGTGGCTGTTTATAGTAATACATTAATACAGTAGTACTCTCCTCCAACATCACGGTAGATTTCTGTTTTTTACGTCTGGAAATTGCTTTTGCTTACGTCTGGAATCAAAAAAGCTTTTAAACTGTTTTATGATCTTGATTCAATCTAAAACAGCCTCTTTAGAAATGTGCTGACTTGTGCAAATTACAGAGTACCTTTTTGAGTTCCAAATCCAAATTAGGAAATTAATCTAAAAAGAAACACTCATTTAGGGTAGTTATGTAGCATTAATTAAAAGCAGTGCAAACAAGTTCAGTAATAAATCAGTAATAAAGTAATGGCTTGAAATATTAAGTACATGAATTCTTCAGAGAATAACTACAAAATTGATTTCTTGTCTGAGGGAATTGTCATTTACATAATAGCTAAAGAAGCTAAGTTTCTTTAGTTTAGGACAAACAGGATTAAGAGGAGAATGAGCCAAGTTCAGTAAACCCTTAGGGATATACACTGCCTTGCAAAAGTATTCAGACCCTTAAAGTTTTCAAATGTTGCTGGATTACATGTGCTACACATCTTTTTCCATTTAGTATTTTCAAGAACTGAACTTGTACTTCCTGTACCTGAAGCAGACTGACATTTTGCAGATAGTTTAACTTTACTGAACAGGTTTCAGTTTAACATAAAAAAACAAGGGAATTCCATGCCAAATCCCCAATGCAAACTACAGTTTCACATGTGAATGTTTAGTTTTAGCGCTTTTGATGTGATTAATTGTGTAGGTGTCATAAAATGCCACATGTAGAAAAGTGGAAGCTAGGGTAAATTGTAGGAGATATCGTTTTTTTTAGCTTACTTACACGGTAAGATTTCTTTTATTCTCATCCAGTGGTGTCTACAGCTGGCCTTCCCAGTACCTCTCTTTGTGACCCCAGTGTCTGCTGGTTTTCATTCTAGCCTCATCGAACTACTAATGTGATTGGTTAGCCCTTTAAAATAGTTTCTGTTGCAGTTTTTCAAGTTTTAACATATTTGGAAGTTAATTTTCAAACCCCTTATAGCTGCAGAGCTGAAAACAATTCAGAAACGCCGGTTCATCGAATTCTTAGTTCAGTCTGGGGCTCAGTTAGGTGGAGGAAGGTGTGAGCCCGAGATAAACCCGGCGGGCGGTGAAGTCACTGGGACTGAGACTGGAGGGCTTGGAACTCCGAACTGGAAGACTGTGGCCTCTGATCCTAGGTGGGATGTTCCTGTTGTACTGTGTGAGAGAGAAATTTCCTCCGAATCGCTCCAGTAAAGTACCCAGCTGTGCAAGTGGCTGCTTTGGATAAAAGCATCTGCCAAATAAAATTAATAATGAATTAAACTGTGCCGAGACACACTGAAGAAGGGGGCAGCATGTCCTTCAAAGCCAGGTCCTTTGTCCTGTGTCCTCTTCTAATTGGAAGGTTTTATGAGCCCATGTTTCTGTTTATAGCTCCAGGGAGATTTTCACCACCTCTCTTTGGCAATTCTCTCAGATATTTGTATTTCCAGGAGGGGAGTGTGTATATTGATGCACTACATAACATTTAAGGAATGAAGTGTGTGCGAGGGCGCCTATATCCGAATGCGTCTCTTAACATGCCTGGGAATTGAATACAGGGGCAGTTGGACATGGAAGCTTCACTTATAGAAGTAATACAGACCCAGTTTTCTGTACACTCTCTGAAAGCTACCAAAGAGCTTCTGTTATAAAACAGGAATGAAACAGCACTTTTCTTTGTTAGAGTCTGATCCTGCGTAAGCTCGGATACCTCTCAGCCACACCTGGACAAACTTTGTTGTTTGCATACTGAGTTGCAATAGTCTTGTTCTTACGTCTTTGGCTGTAAACGCCCAGTTCTATAAACACTATGGTTTTTTTTCAGGATACCACGAAATTGCTTATTCATTTCATGTGCTACAATAAACATTTACCATAAAAAGAAGTCTGGCCATTGTCCTGTATCCGATTTGTGGTGTGTTTGTCAGGGAACAACTGAATAAACATGAAAGTACTGTAGGTGTCTGTGTTGCATCCTCCCAGAGCCTACTAAACTTGAGTTTTAGATGCTGTTTTACTCAGGAGTTAATCTCCAGATTTTTTTCTTCATCTTTGGTATAAATAGTAGTCCTTTAATGTATAGCTGTGGCAGCATACTGTGTGTGGGTAAGTATCTGGTCTCATAACTGACAGGTTGTGGGTTCAAGTCCCCTCTGCACTCCAACAAGGCTCTGTAATCCAATTGCTATAGTTCACCCAGTTGTATGAATGGAGACCAGCACTGCTGGAAGTAGCCCCTGCATTGGACTGGTGTCCAGTCCAAGCCAGGGAGTCACATGTTCTCTCAAACCCTAAACACAACAGACAGGATCAGCTCGGGCCCAGTGAACTGATGTCTACCAAAATGTATGGCTATCTACCAAAGTGTATAGCTATACCATTCAAATTAAACCTGCTGCATGGAGTTCACAATTAGGGTAGGTGCAGTGAATCCCTGCATGTGCTGATTCCTACAAGGCAAGTAGCCACCAGCTATGAGAGTGCGTCAGGGATTCGGGTTTTGAGTAATGCGTCATTTTGCCAATTTGGTCTGAAATGAATGGGGTTTTAGAAACAATTTATATGGGGGGGAGAACAAAATTATATTCTTTCAATGCTGATTACATTACATGCAAATGAAACACCTAGGACCCCATCTGATATGTGATTGTAATGTGGCTAGCCTTTCTCTTGGAAATGTCAGGCTGTGGGTGTTTTACTGCGCTGCTTGATTCAGCCTAGGCTGTGTGCACCTAATGCACCTCGGTTTAAATACAGCTCCTGTGCTCCAGTCGGCCTGGCACCGATTTCATGGAATTATATGGGCATGATTTAGGCTCTCCTACAGGAAGAATTATACTTATGTAAAGAATTAAAGTACTTAAATTCACTTACTGCACTTTTTTCAGGTTAACTATGGATGCTTTCACCTTACTTTAAATTAGATGAAACCTGAAAGACCCAGAGCAATATGGTGCCTTTGCTAACTTAATCTTATCTTAAAAAAAACCCTTTCCACATTCCTTTTTTCACATTTCCTTGAAGGCCGTGAAGACCCTGGTTTATTGTGCTGTAAAACGCCATAAATTGTTTTGACAGCTGGGAGCACCGAAGATGCCAAAACAAAAAGATTTGTTTCCCTTCCCTTGCTTATTAAACCGCGTGACGTGTTGGGTTGAAGGGAAAGAGGAAGTATCTGAAGAACGCTTTTAAATACAGCACTGATAATGGGTGAAAAAGAAAAAAAGAAATTCTAAATGAATCCTTTTTAGGGTATTAAAAAATGAACAAAGCCAAAAGTTTTTTTTTTGTTCTCGAGTCCCTGACAATTAAATGTTTTCTACAACATTATAATGTAATAATAGGAAAAAGACTGCCTTACCAAACTCTTTCTTCTGTTTTGTTTTTTTGTGGAGTTATGGGTGAGGTGGAGGGGGAGATGGAGGGTTGCTTTCAACCGTGGTCAGAATGTATGACTGTCCAGAGAAAGAATGAAGCGGGACTGTGGTACTCGCACAGATAGCAGAAACAGGCGTGCCTGGGCGTGAGAGTACTGTCCAGAGGAGGTCAGAGCTCAGTCTGCACACACTGGAAGATAACCAGATAGGGGCTCCATCCCCTTAGCCACCTTAAGAACGGCAGCTTCAGCATGCATGCTGGTACACAAGTAGTCTAAACCACAGAAAACTTGTATTGCTGCTCCTGTAGCTCTAACGTGATGTACCCTTTCAGGTTTGGAGGTAGTTTGCCGGGCAGTAATATCTCCACGTGAAGTTTGATGCTGAAACAGCTCCAAAAAAATCCTAAATCCCGAGAGTTATCTTCGCCACCACTCATGCCTTAATGGAAAAAAAATGGTTAAAATGCTTTTGTTTTGGTTTTGTTTAGTGGGACTTGGTGTGCCAATCAGCCTGGAAGGTCCACATTGCCAAATTTTCTCTACTGGTGGGCTCCATTTTTGGATACTTGGTGATGGGAGTACTAGCAGATTGGTAAGTGCCATTCCTTATTCCCGTGTTTTACCAGTATTTACAGGTAGTTTGTAAGTGCTGTCATTTGCTCTATGCCATTCCACAGGGGCTTGTTAGCGCAGATGAAAAATCAGGGTAGTCAGGTGCTTTTATACAGTAGTTACGTTAAAGATGAACGCTGAAGGAACTGATCACTTTTAGCCAGACGACTACGAGGGGACCAAAGGTATCGACAAACTCCACCCCACAGATTTCTTTAGAATGAATAGTGAAAAACAAACTGGAGGGCACAGGTGGACTGACTTCTTTCAAGAATCAGCTGGACAAGATTCTTAGCTCAATTAGATGGACCAAATGGCCTCCACCTCCATTTTGTATTTGTTTTTAAATTTCTTGAAGGTTTTTTTGGGGGTGTCCTGGCTCCAGTGTACAGTAGAAGGCATTTCTTATTCCGCCTTCTGCTGGCAGGCCCTGCTCATTAGAACAGTCCAGACGTGGCAGCGTTTCAGGCTTAAGAACATAAGAAAAGTTGCAAAGGAGAGGCGCCATTTGGCTCCTCTCACTAATTTTATTGTGACAGCTAGCATTTATGTGCAGTGTTGATATGCTTTTATAATGAACGTTATCCAGAGTGTTCACAGACTAAAATAACCCTTTACAGTTGTTACCATGTTTACTTAATTTTGTACTTAATTTTTCTAACTGTTGGTGTACACTGTGCCAATTTCCGAAACTGGTGTTGTCTCAGCTGTGTGAGCTTCAGGCTACGTAGATTAAGAAGAGATTAAGAGTATAACTTTGGATTTTTTTACACCAGTCGGGTTTTGTGGCCATCCTAGGTGGCACAGCGGCATACTGGTTAGCACTTTGGCCTCACAGCACTTGGGTCCTGGGATCGATTCGAGACTGGAGCGTCCTCCGCGTGGCGTTTTAATGTTGTACTTGTCTGTGGGTTTTCTCCAAATGTTCTGGTTTCCTCCCACCTCTTGCTGGACAAGCAGATTGTCTCTGGGTTTGTCCCCGTGTGTGCCTGCTTCACGATGGCCTGGTGTCCTGTCCAGGGATGGGCTATGGGCAGCCAGAGCCTCTGGGCTCGTGGATGAGCAAAAGCTCTGCATCAGGCAGTGCTACAGGGGGCTATGATTAGAGGCCCCTGTGGCACTGCTGAAGGGGAAACTCAGTGCCTTCAGGCAAGGTGAAAGTGGGCCAAAGCATTGCAAATTCCACAAGGCATCAGTATGGTAAATACTCTTAATTATCTGCCATTTTGTCTTTCAGGTTTGGGCGGCATCTTGTTCTAATTACATCAGTGGTATTCATGCTGATATTCGGCCTCACGGTGGCTTTCTCTGTGGATGTGCCGATGTTTAGCTCGCTGAGGTTCTTTGAAGGATTTTGTCTAGCAGGGATCACGCTTTCCTTGTATGTAATGAGTAAGTACGTCTTATTCTCTAAACTGCGGTACTGACTCGCCAGATGTGGTAATTGATCATTCCTCCTGTCAGTGTCAACAGTCGGATACATAAATTGTTGTCATAAAATGAAGTGCTAATGGGACTTCAGCTGTGTCCTTTTCAGAGAAGCACATTCTGTCTGTTCATTTTCTCCTTCACAGATTCACAGTAACCTCTGTTTTTTATGCGCCTGGTCAAGCCATTCCATGTTCAACCGTGATTCATGCACTAATGATTGAGGCTGAAACAGAGCTGGATTTAATAATACTTAAAACTTTTAGGATTAATAGTAAGACATGGATAAGGTGAATACATTTTATAATTCCATTCTAAACTGCCTACTCATTTCCACTTGGTAGCCTTTCTTGTTCATTGTCTCAACATGAATTTTCTGGAGGAAAGGAAGTATTAAAAAGTGACATCATAGAGTCACGAAAGGGCACTCGAAGGATCTAGCCCATTTGGTGAAGGATCTCATGCAGCCGTGTCTTGAAAGAAGAGAGATTATCGGCTTCAGCCACACCTGGCTAGCTTATTCCACACCTTCCCGACCCTGTGGGTGAAGAAGAGCCTCCCCTTCTCGCTTTTGAAGCGCTTCCACCGTGCGTCCTGCCCGTGCGCTCTGGTCCGGGTTTCACCGTTCGTTCTGAAGAAGTCCTCTGGGTTGGTTTTGCCTGTGCTCTTGAGGATTTTGGATACTTGTGCTCAGGCCCCCTTGCAGTCATGTCTGCTCAGTGCTGGAAAGGTTCTGTTCTGTCACCCTGTCGGAGCAGGAGAGTAAATGGATGCCATTCCGCCACCCTCCCTCTCCCTCCATCACTGCGGGTGTCTCTCTGGGACCCCCGTTCGGCAGCAGCACTTGGGCATCTGGACAACATTTGAATTTGGCGTCGCTGCTGACCCCCAGCCTCTTATAGTTTAGTTAGGAGATGTTCTTGGAGAAAAAACAGAAATAAATAAAATCTCAGTAACACAGCTTACAGTCCTCTGGATTTTGTAACTCTGTGGCGTTGACAAAAATCTAGGAATTATGAAAAATATTTAACTACAATTACAGATCAACTACTTTCCAGTTGCTGAGGTATGTTGTTACCTGTTCTGAGTTTATTCTCCATCCAGAGTGTGAGGGTTCCTGTCTTAAATGAATGTCTCTTGCACCAGAGAACTAATGTAATTAGGCACATTTCAAGGCAGAACGTTTGAAATGTTATTCTATGTTACATCTCTTTAAATGATTTGTTTTTCGATTTATTTAGGTTCTCGCTTACCGTGATGTTTTTCATGCTTAAATTGAGTGCAGGTTTGAAATGGAAACATTAGGTTCATTGACTTGTGGGATTAATGTCTTGTGGTCATATTATTGTTCCTTAAACAACAAAGTGCCCCAAAGATAAACAGGGTGTACAAAGTATCAGCTATGACAGTCGTGAAGGTTTCTAGAGTGCAAAACTGGGTCTGTTTTCAACCTTCAATGAAGAACACAAATATCCCGTTTTGGCAGCTCTGTTTCCTCAGAATTACTCAGAATTCTTGTTTTCTTCCAGGACATGAGTGTGCCATAGTTCAGCAGTCTGTTAAGTCAATGACCTCCAATAAAACTATTGTAGCAGAAAAAGACTGGCACTTTCTAAAAAGGTCAGATGGGCCTTTTAGAAGATTATTGTGTAAGTCTTACTTTGCTGACATCGACAACTGACTGAAGTCCATCTCAATATGTTTACATATATGCAACATCTGCTTTTTTCACAGTGGAAAGAGAATGGGAGAACTCTTGATGAATCTCTTTGTGATGGTGGAAGAGGAACAGTTTTGAGCCTAGACAGACTGGAAGTAGCATTTGAGAATCTGCATTTTCATTAGCATTTCATTCTTTATCAGTGGCGGTGATGTTAGTTTGCTTGAAAATTTCACTGTAAGCCTATGCTAGGATATATTTAAGTGAAGCATTACATTGTAAAAAGAAGGTTTCATTTCCTAGAAAATAAAAGGTGTGGTGTGAGTGGTGGGTGTCGTAATGAACACAGCCTATTCGTCTAGGAGATTAATTTGGTCAATTATTGTGCACTTACGTCCTGTAGTATGTTTGGCGATTGATGGAGCTTCTAAAATAGCCTAAGCGATGTCAGACTAAATGTTTGTCCAGGAAGAATGCCTTTAACTGGCTCATAATTGACCTTGCAGTAGACACAGTGCCTGTTTAAAGTGCACTGTTGCAATGAATGTCCGGAGTTCTGGCAGGCAGCCAAGGGCATTAGAATTGGTGGGCTGACTCCTTGTCATCGTAATGTGTTCTCTGCTGTTACCTTGGAAACTATATATGTTCTTTGAAGGCTTTGCAGATATAATATCTTAAAAGGCGTCTTAAAATAGTCTCCAAAGCTGTCTTTTTGGCGCAGTTTCAGAAAGCCATGTGATAACACAAGGTAAATGGGCCTTTCAACAAATACACCTATAGATTTTGATCTCCTCTGATTGTCGTTGGCATATTGACTTGATTTACTTTATTCACCGTATTAGTAGCCGAAATGGATGAAAAATACCCTCTCTTGGAGGTGGAATGAAATTTGTGGAGAAAACAGAAATTATTCTTGGGATGCAGAAAAAAACCGTCAAGTGTGCTTTGGATTTTCTACATCAGGTATAAATATGAGCACTTGAGAGCTCTTCAGCCAGTAGAAGCGCTCTCTTGTAGCATCGGAAGAGGCCTATAGTCCTTAGAGCCTGTTCCTGTCGCAGCTACGTGACCAGGATTCCCCATGTAGGAACGCTTGACTGGTAGAGAGCAGGGTGGCCTGTGTTTGGTCAAGCTGTGCATCAGCAACCCCTAATGGTCTGCAGGCCATTGTGCAGCTTTCATGTGTGTTACTGCTAGAGCCCAATCCCTCCTGCATTCAGTGATAACTCTGGGGTAGGACTTGTAGTGTAAAAAACAGCAGATGGCTCTGAAAGTCCACGTTACAGAGCAAGGTGTTCGCTTAAAGCACCCATCCTGTGTTTATGCAAAGATTGGAGAAGTGAGCACAGTCGACTAACTGCTGATTTTGAATTGAGGGATATGAATATATATACTGTAAGTAGTTGGCAGTTTCATTTCACTATGTTTGTAAGAGAATCTGAAAATCAGAAATTTTGTTTTGAAACATTCCGCCATGAGGTTTGGTGCCTTTTAACTGTAATTACTTGCCTTGACTTAGATTTTGTTTTGCTGCCTGTAGAGTTAAAAGCATGTATGTTCAAGTGGAAAACTGTTTAGTATAGTCTGTACAGTGGGTACACAAACTTCCTTTCTTTTCTGTCTTTTTGACTGTTCTTTTCCTTTTGTTTTCAATATTTAGAGGATAAGAAAATCGAGGGAGACTTAATTAAACAAAGCACCTCATACAAACCTAAACAGAAACTGCTCACATCCCCAGGGCAGGTTCATGCAAAATATTGTAATACGCTGTGGTATGGGGGTGAATTGGTGCTGTATTATAGAAATAAGCGACTAAGAAGGATGTCTTAGTTTGAAAGGAATTGTTGTCCATATAACAGCAAACAACAGAAAAGGATTTGCTTTCAAGCTGCTTAAGAGACATGCCTCTTCAGAAGTGCATTTGTGGACTAAAAAGTAATGTTTTGAATCAGAATCTCTGTTAAATGTAATAGCCCTTGGGTAACAATTCCAGCAAGTTCATGGGCTGTTCTCTAAACCTGTCTGTGAATTATTCTTGGCTGATCTTCTGAAGGACAGTGATCATGTTGAATTTTCCATTTACCTCTATTTTCTTCCAGCAGTTTGGAATGCCACCATCAAACATCACGTGGACAAGCATAGTCTGTTAGAAAGGTGGTTCTATAATGACTGTATCAGACAAAGCAAGGACATGCTCATAAATCCTGAAAACATGGTGTCCGGTATTTAAATGTTCAGCTTCAGCACGTTGGAGCACAATTGTATGGACATTTTTAAGGCCTTTTGCCCTACAGTATCTTCTGCAAAGTCCAATAGCTGTTCACAAAGAAATCTTGTCTTTACTGCTTTAAACCAAAGTTATTGGAAGGATGCTGTTCATTTAGTAGGACAATGAAAATCATAGGTGGGTAACTTTATTTGTTTAGGGTTTTACTAAACATACAAAGTGCAGTGCCACGAATAAACTTGTGCGATCCTAGGCTGATCCGTGTTCTTGTATATTCTAGACCTGAAATGTAATTAAATCTTCATGATATTCACTTCAAAGTACTTTATTCATCCCAGGAGAGCAGTTTAAGGAGCAAGTGGTACAAAATATAACAGAAGACAAAAACAAAGACAGATAAAAAAAATAACAAAAACATTGTTAAGAAAAAGTACTGTATCCATAGGTGTAACAGTAACAGACCATAAAAGTGATTGAAAGTAACAGTGTGTAGCTGTAGGAAAGAATTAGTTCACGCATATTTGAGGGGAGGTTGAAGTGGGAGGCTCTGTCCAACAGACATCATTTACAGTCGTACAAAATATGAAAGTCATAATAAAAATGAAGATGACTTGATTAAATGTATAACACAAAGACACAAGAGATAGCTGTATTATTCAATTAACGAAATGATGCAATGGCAAATACCCCAGTTTGAGTTGTACTGTATACAGTATGCACACTCTTGTATTTGTATGAGGCTGACAGTGGGTGAATGGAGCTCCAGAAGTTTAAAAACAGTTGTATATCCCTCTCCAGACTAATGAGCTCTGACTACACTTTTTTTGAGGTCCACGGAAAGCTCTTTGATTGTGGTGTGAAGTATTCTATATTATCCTATCCTGTATAAGGAAACTTTGTGAGTTTTGTTTATTAGTGTGGTGTATAGTGTAGACCGAGCTCAGAAAGTTTCTGACCGTTGTATAGGGCAGGGCTGCCCCAAAACCAATCCTCTTTCCACCCCATTCTTTAACCACCTGGTTGTCCCCCTTACTTCACATGTCATTGCAGCTAAAACCTTGAGTTTGTAAATATGAA